TTAGCAGCCAAGGGAATGAGGTCAATACATTTCCCCCCAAAGCTGTGTACCCTTCCATCTGCTGGTCGCTCTATCTTTCGGGAGTTAACAAGTAAAGCTCCCAGACTGGGAAATCACAGCTTCCATTGTTTCCGTTTTCTATTTTTCCTATTATTTGTCAATTGATTTCATATGATCACCACCACCATTATCCTGATTCTGATGTCTCCAGATCTCCCAAGATTTCATTCCCCTCGTTCCACTGGACACTCTTAGGCCAAACCACTAATCATGTCATGTTGTTGGTACTTATATTGTAATACTTTATTTTCTGCTACAATTAAAAAAACTATATGGCTAGTCTTCCTTTCTCTCTCTTTGAATGTTGCTGTGCTTTAGATGAAAGTTTACACAGCAAGTTGGTTTCTTGTTGAACACATTTTATACAAATTGTTGTGTAACATTGGTTACAATTTTCACAGTGTTCCAGCTTTCTCACTATTTCCATCCTGGTTTTCGACCTCATCTTTGCATTTTGATAGATGTTGATCATCTGATCATATATAGTTGATTGTTTAAAGGAGTATATTACTCACAGATGGTAGTGTTTATCCAACAAGGAAATCTATTATTCTTTATGCTGAAAGGTGAATTCTAAGAGTAGTTTCAGTGCCAATTTCAAAGGATATTTGAGGGCAATAGTCTCAGGATTCCTCTAGTCTCTTATCAGTCCAATTAAGTCTAGCCTTCTTATAGAAATTATAATTTTGTTCGATATTTTCTCCCATTCTATCCAGAGCTTTTTATTATATTCTTGGTCAGAGAGGTCAGTGGGGGTGGCCAGGCACCATCCAGTTTTTCTGATTTCACATTAGAAGAGACCATGGTTCATGTGGGCTATTCATCCCATAGACTGATTTCTTCTTCGGGTCTTTGGTTTTCTTCATGCATAACAAACTGGATTACATTGAGAAGAATGAGAATTCCAGAGCACTTCGTTTTGCACATGTGGAACCTGAACGTGGACCAAGAGGCAATCATTCAAACAGAACAAGAGACTACTCTGTGGTTTAAAATCAGGAAATGTATGTATCTAGGTTGATTCCTGTTACCATATTTGTTCCAACTGTATGCTGAGCAAATAACCTGAGACACTGGACTATAGGAAGAACACAGCATCAGATTTGGAAGAAGACTTATTAACAACTTTTGATATGTAGTTGACATAACTTTGCTTTCTGGAAGCAAAGAAGACTTGAGGCACTTACTTAGGAAAATCAGAGTACAACCTTCACATGGATTACAGCTCAATATGAAGAAAACAAATCCTCATAACTGGACCAACATCATAATAGGTAGAGAAAAGTTGAAGTTGTCAGGGAACATCATGATAAGTGGAGAAAAGTTGAAGTCAAAGATTTAATTTTGCTTAGACCCAATATCAATGCCAATGGAAGTAGCAGTCAAGAAATCAAAGGATGGAGGTGGTGGGGAGAGCTTCTTGGGGAGTCGCAGCATCAGCACTCTGCTGGCCCAACACCTGTCTCGGTGTCTGCAGCCTCTTCCACTTCCTTCCTGGGCGACGAGAACCAGCGGCCAGAAATCCATCATGTCTATCCTCAAGATGCACCCCAGAGAGATCTTCGACTCCCGTGGAAATCCCACCATTGAGGTTGATCTTTACACTGCCAAAGGGCTCCTCAGAGCTGCCGTGCCCAGTGGGGCTTCAACTGGGATCTGTGAGGCCCTGGAGCTCCAGGACAATGATAAGACCCAGTATCTGGGCAAAGGTGTCTCAAAGGCTGTTGAGCACATCAATAAAACGATTGCGCCTGCCCTGGTTAGCAAGAAGCTGACCGTGACGGAACAGGAAAAGATCGACAAGCTGATGATTGAGATGGGTGGAACTGAGAATAAGTCAAAATTTGGTGCAAATGCCATTCTGGGCGTATCCCTCGCTGTGTGCAAGGCCGGAGCTGTTGAGAAGGGAGTCCCCCTATACCGTCACATTGCTGACTTGGCCGGCAATTCCGAAGTTATCTTGCTAGTTCCTGCTTTCAATGTGATCAACGGTGGCTCCCACGCCGGCAACAAGCTGGCCATGCAGGAGTTCATGATCCTCCCCGTCAGAGCAGTCAACTTCAAGGACGCCATGTGCATTGGGGCCGAGGTGTACCACAACCTGAAAAACGTCATCAATGAAAAACGTCATCAAGGAGAAGTACAGCAAGGATGCCACCAATGTCAGAGATGAAGGTGCATTTGCCCCCAGCATCTTGGAGAACAAACAGCTGCTGAAGAATGCTATTGGGAAAGCTGGTTACACTGACATGATGGTGATTGGCATGGATGTAGCTACCTCTGAGTTCTTCAGGTCTGGGAAATATGACTTAGACTTCAAGTCTCCTGATGACCCCAGCAGGTACATCTCACCTGACCTACTGGCAGACCTGTACAAGTCCTTCATCACGGACTACCCAGTGGTGTCTATCAAAGACCCCTTTGACCAGGATGACTGGGACGCTTGGGCCAAGTTCACTGCCAGTTCAGGGATCCAGGTGGTAGGGGACGATCTCACAGTGACCAACGCGAAGCGAATCGCCAAGGCCGTGGGCAAGAAGTCGTGCAACTGCCTCCTGCTCAGAGTGAACCAGATCGGCTCTGTGACCGAATCTCTGCAGGCGTGCAAGCTGGCCCAGTCCAAAGGGTGGGGCGTCATGGTGTCTCATCGTTCTGGGGAGACGGAGGATACTTTCATTGCTGACCTGGTAGTGGGACTCTGCACTGGACAGATCAAAACTGGTTCGCCATGCCGATCTGAGCGCCTGGCCAAGTACAACCAGATCCTCAGAATTGAAGAGGAGCTGGGCAGCAAGGCCAAGTTCGCTGGCCAGAAGTTCAGAAATCCCCTTGCCAAATAAACTTGGCAGGCAGACCTCTGGTAGTCCCTCCCCTGAGCCTGTCGGTGTTCTCACCGCTTCATTAGAGCTGCCCCTGCAGCCAAGCCAGACTATCTGGACACATGTTGGAAACCCCAGCTTTGTGATCCTGTGACAGCCCCACTTCTCGCCCTTCTCGCGAGCTTCCCACCAAGTGTCCCAGTGTCATCGCGAGGTGTCAACAGGCAACATCCCCAGTGGTTTTGTTTGCAAAATAAACATCAATGACCCCCCCCAAAAAAAAATCAAATTTGCATTGGACAAATCTGCACAAGATCTTTTAAAAATGTTGAAGCACACAAATGTCACTCTGAATATGAAGGTGCACCTAACCCAAGCCGTGGTATATTCCATCGTTTCATATGCTTGTGAAAGCTGGAAAGAATATTGAAAGGACCCATAGTCTGCCAGAAGAACAAACAAATCTGTCTTGAAAGAAGTGCAGTCAGAATGTTTCTTAGAAGCAAGGATGGTGAAACTCCATCTCATGTACTTTGGACATGTTATCAGTAAAATCCAGTCCCTGGAAAGGGACATACATACAACAAGCTTGATAAAGTAGAGGTCAGCAAAAAAAAAAAGAGGAAGCCCATCAACGAGATGAATTGCTACGGTGGCTGCAACAATGAGCTTAAACATAACAATTGTGAGGATGATGAAGGGTTGGGAGATGTTCCGTTCTGTTGCACATTGAGTTAGAGCTGACTGGGTGGCACCTAACAACAAAAGCAACAACATATGGGTTGAATAAGTAATATGGGAGGGAGGGAGGCTATAATCCTACTATACATCTTTTTCAATTTTAAACCACACAGTATTCTCTTGTTCTTTTCAAATTCCTGCCACATGAGCTTAATTAACCATTCCATAATTACCGGTTTTCACAATGTTATTTATAGTTAACTATGATCCACAGAGTTGAAAGCCTTCCTCCATAGTCACTAAAGCACAGGTAAAAGATTTGTTACAGGACAGGGTCCACACTCCTCTTTGCCTCTAGGTGTCAGGATATGGTCCTTGCCTACCTTTATGTCCAACTCACTGGAGCTTCCACCTTACTGATTCTGTTTATCCACACTGCTGCCCTTGTCCTTTTTTGGTCAGTTTAAATATCATCCATGAGAGTTCTAAAGGGCAAAAAAATCCTTGATATATCAAGTTATTGTAGATATTTACAACTAACAAAGCTTTGTTTCTCAGGGGCCTTTCATTGTATAAAACATGATGACTTGATTTTATAAATTGACTACTTTTATTCGTTATAATGTGTAAATGAAATATTTATTGCAGTCAAGATTTGACATTTGTTACCACTACTATTTACGACATCCTGATCAAACACACCTGCTAGCAAAGGCAGATTAAATCCCTTAGTGACTTACAGCCACTGTAGTGCGAGCTCTGTGCTATAATGATTTAAGATTACAGACTTCATTGTAATACTGACTAGAGTTTGAATTCCGATTTCATGGTGTTTATACTTTAGACAAATAGTATTATCTAACTACAAAGTTAAAATAGCAGTTAACATTAGCAGGATGTGTACTGTGTATAAGGAGCCTTGTTGGCATAGTGGTTACTTGATGGGCTGCTAACTGAAAGTTCAGCATTTTGAAACCACCAGCTGTTCCTCCAGAGAAAAACAGCACTTTCTACTCCCATATAGAGAGTTATAGTCTCAGAAACTCACAGGGGCAGTTCTACCCCGCCCTGTAGGGTCCATATGAGTTGGCATCAACTTGATCAGTGAGTTTATTTTTTTTGTTTTGGTGCTATGTACAAAGAACTGTGCTAATCTTTAAGCAAGCATCATTAGCTCAGGTAAACCTCACAATAAGCCAGTGGTGAGTTAGGTGCTATTGCCATTATCAGTTTGTAAGCAGGTAGATAAGATGACTATTTTTAGTTTATATGTAAACACAATTTGCTCATAGAAAAGGTAAGTCAATTTTAACATGTGTTGGTTTGATATATCTGTCATCAAATTAAAAGCTCTATTATAAATGTTAATTATTTCTATAATAAAATAACTAAAGTGTGATTATAGGAACTATGTTGCAATATTAACTTTTCTATTTTTAGGGTTCGGACAGAGGAGCCAAAGGCCAAAATTCCACTTTTAGCAATTTTATTTCAACCGTTAGCCAGAAGAAAGAAGCTGCTGAAAACAGAAGTTCACCTACACATCTTGTTTTCCCTAACATCAAGAATGGTAAAATAAATAAATAAAATAATGTATTATAATTACCGAAAGTGCAAAACTGCCTACATAGCTTGCATGATATTATATTATCAGGCTATTAAAATATATTTTAAAAATCTAATTTTTAGTTTATCAGTATGAGAAAGTATTGGTTTTTAGTGCGAGAAATTCATTAGACATTTAATATATGCATTTTCTGTATTAGGAAAACATTTTTGGAAAAAATATTTTATTCTCTAAGTAGATTATATAGTAGTACACATATTACTGGAATTTTTGAACAAGTAACCCACAACATATGTATGTTTTATATATATTTATACACACACACCGTATTTCCCAAAAAGTAAGATATCCCTGGAAAATAAGACCTACTTACAGTTTTGCCTCTCGCTGAAATATAAGGCATCCCCCAAAAAATAAAACCTCCCCGAAAATAAGGCCCCCCGAAGCTACCATAACTCTGGACTCTGGACCATAGCGGTGGGCGCTGCCGTGCAGCTCACTATGTATGGGCCGCAGCGCAGCCAGAGCAGACTGGAAGTGCGAGGTCTCTTAATAAAACAATAAACAATAAATGTGTACTGTATTCTTCTTCATGGAAAAATAAGAGAATAAGACCTAGCGCATCTTTGGGAGCAAAAATTAATATAAGACACTGTCTTATTTTCAGGGAAATGGTATATATATGGGCACCAGAAAGTCCATGGAAAGATGAAAAGATAATGAAAAATGTCCAAGTGCTTTTTGAAGCACCCCTCCTTGTATGTATTCAAACTACACAAATAAAACATTTAAAGGATGAAATGAAGCTCAAATAAGCCATATTACAAGTTTATTTTTAAAAATCAATGCTTTAATAAAGAGTTTTATCTAATAGTTTTTGTTTTTTAAATTTATCTTGGTGGTACATTGATTTTTAAGATCTGGTGCGAAGTTCAATTTTATTTAGTAGTTGTTTTAAATGACTCATTACCAATAGGGTATACATTGTATATATTGCTGTTGCTGGGTGCTGTCCAGTCAGTTTTGACTCAAAGCAACCCTATGTACAACAGAACAAAGCATCGTCCAGTCCTGCACCATCCTCACAATTGTTCTTATGTTTGAGCCCATTGATGAAGCACTGTGTCAGTCTTATCTTGTCAAAGTCCTTCTTTTTCTCTGCCCCTCCACTTTACCAAGCAAGATGTCCTTCTCTGGGGACTGGGATCTTCTGACAACACGCCCAAAGTACATGAGACAAAGTCAGGCCAACCTTGCCTCAAAGGAGCATTCTGGCCAAGCTTCTTCCTAGACAGATTTGTTGTCCTTTTGGTCATTCATGGTTTTTTTGTTTGTTTGTTTGTTTGTTTGACATGCACTTGTTTATCCCTAAAGATTCCCAAGTCCATTTCAATTTTACTTTTCCTCTCCACCACCCCCTTTTTTTTTAACACTACTTAGACCACTATTTAGATTTGAGGGATAAGGAGTCTGGAGAGTTTTGTTTTTAAAGAAGCACACTCTGTTTATTTACACAGCCCAAATCAAGAAATGAATCAACAGCAATACCCTGCTAGACTTTCCATATATGTGGTTCTCTTTCTCCCCTCTCCCCATCTTTCCCTTTTCCCCCATGGTGCTTTGAATATTCTCTGTCACCACCATAGTTCAAACGCATTAGTTTTTCTTTGGTCTTCTTTATTCAGTGGTCAACTTTCACATGAAATTACCATCACTTAGGTCAGGTACCATATTCCTCAAAGTTAACATCCTTGCTTTTCACCATTTGAAAGAGGGCTTGTGTACCAGATTCACCTAATGCAATGCATCATTTTATCTCTTCACTGCTGCTTCTATGAGCATTGATTGTGGATACAATGGGGGGATTTCAGTGTTTTCTGTGTTTATCATGATGTTACCTATTGGTCCAGTTGTGAACAATTTCATTTTATTTGGGGTGAAAAAAACCAAAATCTCATTATTGGATTGCAACATTTCATTAACTGTGTTTATTATTAAGAAACTCCTTAATTCCTCACTTACGATTAGTTCATTATCCAGCATTTCACATTTATAACAATAGTGAAAACATTACTATCTACTTTGCACAATTATAACATGTGTTTGGCATTCATGAATGCTGAAATGCAAGGCAATAGTAACACTGGCTGTGATGTGCCATTTGGCTGATACTTGCTCTCAGTGCTTGCCAGTTATTTAATAGTGGGATTTGGTGCTTTTTCAGTGAACTCTGGCATGTAGTGATCTTCCTCCATTTTGTGATATGATGTGTTCATCCTCCATTTTCACATAATGCTGGTTTTCACATGATGACCTAGTCTTTGAAACCTAATCACGTTAATAAGTTAGGAATTGGAATACTAAATTCTCAACCCGTTCATAAATTTTTCTGTAATTTTTGCAAAACTTGACTTAAAAATATTCATCTTTCCTACTGTCAGTTATTCTTTCAAACTAATTGAATTTTAACAAATAGATTCAAAGCCTATTGAAAGCTTCATTTTGAAGATTCTATTTCCAGACCCAATGAATTCTCAGACACAGGCATTTTATACAAATTATGCTTAAAATTGTCTTTTTCAGTCACAAAATCTTATAATGATAGAATATTTCTAAATATCCAATTTCAGAAAGCTTTTTCCACAGCATGAATTTCTCTTGAAAAACAATTTTTTTCCATTGTTAGGCTATTTATATTTATTATTTTTAAAGTATCACATAGGCTATAAACTACTAAAACCACTTAAATGAAAGGCCAAGAAATTTGGACTGTCTTACAGAAAAGAAAATAATCCATAACTTGTCTTTGTTTTTTGGTTTTTTGACAACTTATTATTTGAGATAATATTACTCATAAAGAAAAGGTACAAGAATAATGTTATTGCCTTATATTAATGTATATATTACATTTTGTCCCATTGTTTTCTCTCTTACACCTTCCCTCTTCTCTCCTTTCCTTCTATATACACCATAAACACACACACACACACACACACACACACGAAGTAATTTCTGATAAAAATAACTTAATGACTATAGGTAATCCAACTTAGGATGGGTTCCATTCAGACTAAATCGTTTACAATGTAAATTGAATACCTTTTTTCATCTTTGCCATTTCACTATTACTGCTTTTTTATTATGGATATTTTTATAAGTCTAATATTTACTTATCTTTGGGCATTGGGATGAGAATGATGAAATCAGCAAATTACACACTGTTGCATTGTATGTCCACAACTCCCTTATCAGTGTGTCCTATTGAAGTGACTTCTATGTTGCTATGATGTTAGAAATCAGGCCACCGGTATTTCAAATGTCAGCAGAGTCAACCATGATGAATAGGTTTCAGTGCAACTTCTAGACTAAAATCAGACATGGAAGCAGGAATAAACTGAGGGATTAGCCATTGAAAACCTTATGAATAGCAGTGGAACATTGTCAGACATAATGTCGGAAGATAAGCCTCTCAAGTTGAAAGGCACTCAACTTTTTGAAGTCCCCCTTGAATGTGCTGCTTTACCCATGAAGCTATGAAAAAGTTGAAGAATTTTACCAACTTATTTAGATTGAAATTGATCAAACATGTAACTCAAGATGCACTGATAATTATTGGTGACTAGAATGCAAATGTTGGAAATAAAAAGGGGAAAGATCAGTAGTTGGAAAATATGGCCTTGGGAGTAGATATGAAGGTAGACGTTGTATGACAGAATTTTACAAGACCAGTGATTTTTTTTTCATTGAAAACACTTTTTTAGCAACATAATCAGTTACCATGCAGTTGGGACTACACAGATGAAATACACAGAAATCCAAACTATATCTGTGGGAAGACACAATAGAGAAACTCAGCAACCAAAACAAGGCCAGAGGCTGACTGTTGAAAAGACCGTCAATTGCTCATGCGCAGGTTTAAGTTGAAATCAAAGAAAAGTAAAACAAGTACACAGGAGCCAAAATATGACCTTGAGTATATCCCACCTGAATTTTGAGAACAAGATTTGGCTCATTGAACACTAATGACAAGACATCATGACATGTGAGATGACCTCAAGAATATCATCCATGAAGAAAAGGCCAAAGTAGATGTCAGAAGAGACAGACTGGCTCTGGAGCTTAGAGTAGCTAAAGCAAATGGAAGAAATGACCATGTGAAATAGCTCAACAGAAAACTTCAGGGGGCAGCTTTAAAAGACAAAGTAAAATATTATAATCAAATGTGTTAGAAAGCCTAAAAAGAAGAACATGCTCAGGATACCTCAAGCTGGCAAAAAGTTCAAGCCTTGAGTTGTAATATTGAAGGATTTTATGGGAAGAACATTGAATGATGCAGGAAACATCAAGAGAAGGTGGGAAGAACATATAGAGCCACTATTCCAAAGACAACTAGTCAACATTCAACCATTTCAAGAGGCAGCATATGACCAAGGACCAGGGAGTACTGAAGGAAGATGTCCAACCTGCACTGAAGCAACTAGTGAAAAGCAAAGCTCCAGAAATGGAGAGAAAACTAATTGAAATGTTTCAAGAAGCTGACGAAGCACTGGAGACACTCATCTATGCCAAAAAAAAATTTAGGAAGCAGTTTCTTTAATATATGAAAGTAAAAGTTTGTTGAAGATAATTCAAAAATGGCTACAGATATATAGCAATACGGGGCTGCTAGAAATTCAAGCCGTATTCATAAGAGGTTGTGGAATGGGGAGATTATTATTGACGTCACATAGATCTTAGCTGAAAGCAGAAAATTCCAGAAAGATGTTTACTTGTGTTGTATTGATTACTCAAAAGCATTAAACTGTGTGGATAATAGAGAACTATGGATTCATTGTGACAAATGGAAATCCCAGAACTCCTAACTGTGGTCATGTGGAGCCTGTGTATAGATCAAGAGGCAGATGTTCAAACAGAACACAAGAATATTGTATGCTTTAAAATCAGGAAAATCGTGGGTCAGGGCTGCATCCTTTCCCCATGTTTACTCAATCTAGTATGCTTAG